ATTGAAAGACAATGTTTTCTATTAAATTTCTTTACCTCGAACTTTGCATTCGAGACATTTACCGTCATACCGACAACCCTAAACTAGGTTTTGATATAACTAGTTTTGCGCGGAAGTTCTAAACCCGATAGGCTATTTTTTACAAATAAAGTAGGAGAAAAATAGAAGAAACAACAAGCAAGAAAAATAAAACAGGAAAGAAATAACAGCAAAAAGAACACCAAAATTTACGCGGTTTGTCATAGATGCGACTACATCCATAAATAAGGCAAACAGAAATCCACTATACGAATGAAAGTTGCATCATAGATTTTGGTACATAGGGGTAACTTTTATTAGTATAGTACAAGGAGAATAAAATTATTTTTACCCATTGGATGTGAAATCTAATAGATAAAAATGTGTCACAATATTCAAGAAATTTTGTTTTGGACTTTGTACTTAAACAATGATACATTCTCAACTACCAGATTTCAAATCAAATGATCAATAATGATTGTGGCCTTATTGTATCAAAAGTAAATGGCCTCATTCTATACATTTCTCAAAAAGGATTGTCTACAAAGAGACTATTTATGTTTTATATACGGACGTCACAATCATTCTTGTCCCTTAAATTTCAAAATAGGTAGTTGTAAGAGTGTCATTGAATAGACCCAAAGTTATAAAAAAAAAATTGGGACTTCATGACTCATCCCAAACCATTCAATTTGGCATCTAATATGGGATTATGTATTATGGGGCTTTTTATTTTTTTTATAGGTCATAATTACTCCTAGCCATTAATGTCAAATTGGATGGCTTGGGTTGTGTAATGAAATTCAAGTTTTTTTTTTTGAACTAAGTATAGCCAATGATGCTCTTAAGAACATCTGATTTGAAATCAAACAGATAAAAGTCATTGCAATCTACTGTACCCAAGGTAAATAGTCTCTTTGCATATTTTTTTCTAATATCGAATCGGTTTTGAATTTTATTTATTTATCTTTTCTCTGGGGACAATCCGATGCCCCAAAGCTTGGACCACTTGATCCAGTGAGTGTTCCAAGGTTGAAGACCTCGGACTGTTATACAGTGGTAATAAGGTACAGAACTACCACTCCGAGGTCCTAAACCTTGGACCGCTTAACCTCATGAAAAAAAAAAAGCAATCTTAGACAAAAAGATGTGAGTTGACCAACTTTATACGTAATTTTTACAAAAAAATAGAGCTTTTATAATTGTGTTTGGTTTGCATAATTGATTTGACCAGCACCGGCCGGACAAATACAACAACCCGCGATACGATAAAAGAACTAGTGCAACAACTGCCCTTAAACCAACCGGGCCAAATAAGCGACCACGAATCCCCCGCAGGCTTCGTCGATGCACCCGTGGGCTTTTGAGTACCCCAACCCGGGATCCAATGCGAGATTTTTACTAAAAAAGTGTTTGAATGGCTTTTTCGAACATGTTATTTGACGTGTCTAGCCCGCCTCCCCACACGTTCACTCACCCAATGCATGTGCTCACGTCGAGTTCTGGCCCGTTGCAACCTTAAATAATCCAAGTAAGGTGCATCTCTAAACTTTATCATAAGATGCAATTTTAATGTTGAATACTCTTAAGATGGTACGAGAATCTATTTTCACCACTCCTTATAAAATTTTAAACTTCAAAATAGTTCTAATCAAGCATATCTATAATCGCATATAAATCTTGAAAATAGACCGTTTAAGTAATGCCATGTAATATGTGTTATTTTTAAAACTTGAAAAAAAAAAAAATTGTCTTTATACCATACATCTTTGTCCACCATCAAAATAACCTTTTTGGGGATTTTTGGAGTACGGGGAATGATATTGACCACCTGGCCCCGTAGAGTGAGCGGTTTCCAAAGTGGGCAAATAGTTAAAAAGAGGCGACTTTTAACGAGATCCCTAACTTATCATATTTAATGTATCAATAATCAGAGAGTGGGACCACACAAATTAATCCATATTATGACGGTCCACAAAAGCCAATAGTTGGAAAAAATATAATGGAGAAAAGGTCGTTCATTCCACAAGGGCGGCACACGGCCATTTCCTAGGCCGAAATTTCGCTGAATATCAGTTGTCGAAATTTCTTATTCATCTCAGTTATCCTTTACCTTATTTGAACGGCTAAGATTATGTAAAGTACAGTACCTTATATTTATGGTTGGGTGTAGTTTGTTGTATATGGTGTCATAACAATCAAAGTACGGCCCACCTCGTATTTTTGTCAAAAGATGCATTTTTTATGTCAAAAACTTAATCTAATTATGTCTGACATTTAAATATAAAAAATTGGTGTGAATCAAGCATCTCTTGAGAATTTTGAATATAAATGGTCTAAATAATATATAAAAAATACTATTTTTTGGATTTAAAATCTCTTCTTATTCATATCCATACATCTTGCGGGTGAGGTGATTAATTCAAATTGTTTATAATGTAGAACCAACTTATTTTGATGGTTTTTTTACATGCACCTTATTTCTACATAATAAGGTTGATGCTTTATACAAACCCTTTCCTTTATTTTCATGACTTACATAGGTAATGGACAATAAAATATATTGAGAGTATAAAGCATATTTTAATTTTTACACTAAGTCCAATTATTTAACTGTAAAATTTATTTTAGAATTTAAAAACAGTAAAATATATTTCATAATTTACAGTAAGTCAGATTATTTAGAGTATTAAGCATGTTTTAATTTTTACCTTTTTTTTTTAATATGTTGGATTAAGATGAAATTTGGTATGTATAATCCCTCATTATACACACTATAAAATAATATTTAAACCAATTTTAAAAATAATAAATAATCAAAATATTACTACAATAGTTAGACGTGTTTTAGTATTTTTAATTAGTTTTTATTATATTTAATAGGTGTGAGATGGTAAAAAGTATGGACATCATAAATTTTGAAATTAGTTTAATATATAAAAAAAAGATACATGTATAAATACAAAAGATATGTAATTATTTTTAATTCTAAAAATAAAAAAGATTTATAAGTAATTATTTTTAATTCTAAAAATAAAAGAGATTTTTTATATAAATTTCCCGAATAACAATATGTTGCTGACCTCTAGCCTCTAAAATGTTGTTCATCAGCTATGTGTCAAATCCATCCAAATCTGGTACCATTCATTTTCAATGTTAACCACTTTGAACGTTCAGGATTGATGCTTTTCTGTATCATATTGTTTTTATGCTAAGAATAGCATTACGTACTTCTCCCTGTTTTAACCGAAGAAATCATTGGGGCCGCCACTTTCACCCGAAAACTCAATAATTTCGTCTTCGAAATTTCTCTCTCTGAACGAAATTTCGTAACTGAAACCGCTTCTTAAAGCACGAAAACATGGAAAAGTGCACGCTAGATTTACCATTTCTCTGGAAAATAGTATCACGAGTTTCAGACTTGACCACGTGGCATTATAAGAATTTGACACGTAGATAAATACGGTCTACAATAACGGAAAGTCAAACTTGAGCGTCACGTTAGGGGAAAACTTGGTGACCAAGAAAGGAGGAATTTGCCGCCAGCATGTAACAACTTACGAAAATGCCCCTCTTTCTCCTTACAATTACCTGGCGTTTATTACAATACCCTTCTGCCATGAGTTCGACAAATGACAGTTTTTTTGGCTTCTTGCCGATAAAATAGGAAGATTCAAACTTTGCGAAGTGCAAAAACACATATGGGAAAGCTTTTTATATTCCTAGAAGATCTATCCTCATTTTACTATTCAACCGTCTATTTTTAGCCACTTATCATTTGATTTTAGATTTGATGTTTCAAAGTATTTTTTTTTTAGTTTTTTAAATATAATTTTTCTGAATATGGAATTTGGTACGTGTCATCTTTTCATTGGAACACACCTATAAAAAATATTAACAATAATTTTTCAATAAAAAATAATAACCAAAATACCTTTTGAAATTTTTAGAGGTATTTTGATCATTTTATTTTATTAAAAATATTATTTTTATATTTTTGGTTCGTGCGAATTTAATAGAAGAATGGAAGTCTAAAATTTGGTGTCAAAATAGTTTATAGAAAAAAAATAAAAATAAAACAATGTAGAGGCAGGACATTGTGATTGGGGCAATCTTAGCCCTCCGTTCAAAAATAAACGGTTGGATAAGAGAGAGGATAGAACTTCTACGAAGATAGAACTTCTATGTTATAGGGAGAACATAAAAAGCTTTCCCAACACAAATTACCGTGTCTTGTGGAAAAGTAAAACGCCACGCTCTCTTTTTGAAATTGAATTATAGAAATTGGCATATGGGAATAGTAAATTCCATAATCTCCACCAATTTTTTTTTGTACAGGAAGGAAGAAAAAATAAACAGGTAAAATCTCAAGTATATTATGATGATTTTTTTTAGTTTTCATCTTTGTTATCATCCACGTTTTATCCCAACTATTTGGCACCAACTACATGAATTCAGATCATCCATTATATTCTATCGAAATCTTGTCTTCATACTATAAGTCACTATATTTTTTCTTCGGTAGCCAATTATGCCGATAGCAAGCCCAAATAAAAAAAAAAAAAATTGTCTTTGGTAAAATTTAGCAATATTAATTGAATAAAGCTTAAACCATAAATTTCCCGAGTTTTATAATTTTTTTTTCTCTCCCCATGTGCAGGCCCATTTTGTTCCACTCCCGAAGGTTAGGTTTGTCCATCACCCATTGGACCCGAGGGTCACCACTATGCTGTTACCATTAAAACCTAGAAAAGATATATCCCTTAACTTAAAGGGCAATTAAAGGGTTAGGACCCAAGTTCTGCCACATAAAAATCTCTTCGAAAACGTCCAATTCCAACTCACTAGGAACCTTCTGTCGCTGATCCCACCATTGTTTGAATGCCACGTGACACATGGTCGCGTTAAATCTACGGCCTAGGATCAACCACGCCAGCACAACTACACCGCAATACATATATAGGCCATTGTCGCCCTCCATCTTCTCCATAGAAAAATTCAGAAATATTTCTCCATTTTCCGAAATCTCGATTTCTTTCCCGAAATATAGTCAAATCCTGCATTTCTCGACATTTTCTGAGAAAAATATTCTCCAAATTTCATCAGCTCAAATTCTTTGTGATTTTCTCCCATAAATTCCCCATTTTTCATTTTTTTGTTGTCTGAAAAATGAGTGGGAAAATATCTCTGCTTCTTTGGAGGCAGCTGGCGGCCGCGGGCCCACAAGCCACACGCTCCTTCTCTTCCTTGGCCGTCCGTACACTTTCCGGCGGCGTGCTGCACAATGCAACCGGAGTTCCGGGTTGTGCTTTCAATGGTGGTGGCGGCGAGCCCGTACGAGTCCCGGGCTTGTGGACTAGGGTGGTACCGGCTCGCGCCGGTTCCACGGTGCCTGGAGTGGTGGGGGAGGAGGCGGAGGTGACTGTTTCAGCCGGTAGCAATGGGAAGGACGAGAAGGCGGTGGCGAGTTATTGGGGAGTCCCGCCTGAGAAGATTACGAAGGATGACGGTACTGAGTGGAAATGGCACTGTTTCAGGGTGAGATTTTTCTTCTAATTTTTATTTATTTGCTTATTAATTTCTTGTAATCGTCCATAAAAAGTTGTTTTGAGATAAAATTATTTATGGTCATTAGTTATAGATTAAAAGGGAAATGGACAGTGATTTAAAAGAGCGATCAGTGATCCGGATCTGGCACCAAAAACCCGGTTCAAATGGGTGAATGAGTGGTCCAGATCGGTGTTTAACTATGCCGAACAAAACGGCGAAGGCAAAAACACACGTGAAAAACTGGGAACCCCCCGAAAACCTGTCCGGATAGTTGAGTCAACAATCCGCATCGGTCCGGAAACCGGAACACGGTGACCGATGCATGCCGACCTGGTGTTTTTTAAATCACCAATCTTAGGAGAAGGAAACCCAAATTTTGGTAGGGAAAATTACAATTTTGGATTTTTTCTTGTTTTTTACTTATTATGAGATTAATTAAAATAATTTTTTTCTTATTGAATTTTCAGCCATGGGAAACATATAGAGCAGACTTGTCGATTGATCTAGAGAAGCACCATGCTCCCACCACCTTCTTGGACAAGGTGGCCTTTTGGACCGTCAAAGCTATGAGACTCCCAACCGACATTTTCTTCCAGGTATATACTTTCTTTTTCAAGCAATATTGAAACCCAATAAAATTTTGAACAATCAATCTGATAGGGTATATCCATGTTCATATTTTCTGTGTTATCACTTATAAAATGTACGTTGTAATATGCTTCTATTTTGTCCCCGTCTAAATGGTTAAATTTTATGAATAATTATTACTAGAGTTATTTATGGAACTTTTCTATAGTAAAATAATGAAACAATCTTCAAAAATTATGTTATCTATAGTAATATAATGAAACAATATTCAAAAATTATGTTAGAACTATGTATTTTACTTATTTTAAAAAATACATTCTTTTCATTTTAATGAAACATTCACGAAAAAAATTAAGTAAAATTTGAAAAAACACATTAGAATTTTTTTAGGTTGTCAGTTTCGGTGAGATTCTTAGATCTATATATTAGAAATATTTTTTCATTTTAAAATTTTTTAGTGATTGGATTAACAATGTAAAAAAAGAAAAAAAGTACTCTTAATTCATAAAGGCCTTGATCCTGAAATTTACGAAATAGATTGTCCCGATTCATTATTGGAGGGGACTCATCTTGACAGTATTTAGGGTTTGAATTTTATTTTTTTATATTGACTATTAGGATGAAGAGAGTGTATAAAATTCTTGGTCATAAAAATAGCACAAACATGGTTTTCTAAAAGTGTAGTTTCATTATGGTACAATGACATGAGATGATTCCCCTTATTATTATTATTTAGTTCCCAAATCTCATGCTTCCCCTTGAAACCAGTCTATTTACTACCTTAAAGGGTTTGAAATTCTCCTTATTCATTTTACATGGTCACTTAAATGAAGAATTGTATATTGGTGATAACAGAGGAGATATGGATGCCGTGCCATGATGCTCGAGACGGTGGCGGCGGTGCCGGGCATGGTGGGCGGAATGCTTTTACACTGTAAATCCCTTCGTCGATTCGAGCAGAGTGGTGGGTGGATCAAAGCCCTGTTAGAAGAGGCAGAGAACGAGCGCATGCATCTGATGACTTTCATGGAAGTGGCTCAGCCCAAGTGGTATGAGAGGGCCCTGGTCATCACAGTTCAGGGGGTCTTCTTCAATGCATATTTCCTCATGTATTTGATTTCTCCGAAGTTGGCTCATAGAGTAGTTGGGTACTTGGAGGAGGAGGCCATACACTCTTACACTGAGTTCTTGAAGGAGTTGGATAATGGGAATATAAAGAATGTGCCGGCCCCTGCAATTGCATTGGACTATTGGAGGTTGCCGAAGGGATCGACCTTGAGAGATGTGGTCATGGTGGTCAGGGCTGATGAGGCGCACCACAGGGATGTTAATCACTTTGCATCCGTAAGACACCTCTCTCTCTCTCTCTCAATAATTTGCTCTGTCAGCTTGCTTTCGAGCTAGCGAAAACGAGCAAAAAAACGGATGAGCTAATGTGTAACCGCTTTCGCACTAGCGGTTGCCTGGACTGGTTTGTGTAACAAGTCTCATGTTTTTTCAAATGATTAGCACTCTATTCTCCTCTATAGGTTTCTTCAGAGTTCAGATTTTCACTCTTTTGATCTAGCCTTCCATTTGTCTTTTTCCAAGTGGTTGGTTCTCTTTTATGTCTTTACTTTCTACCAAAATTTGGCACTCTCTCTATCCAATTAGTATATACTTAAAACTTGAAAGAAATTCCTCAATTAATTTAATTTAACATCTTATCTGTTGTTTTTTAATCTAATTTTCCATCGTTTTTTCGTCAAATTTCAAATATCAGACTAAATGGATATCAAATTTATCAAATCAAAAAACTAAATAGAATTATTCATAGTTTGATAAATTTTCCTTTTTCTCACATTTCAAGCACAAAAGCATATATTTTTCTTTTTCATCAAATTATATGCCTCTCAGCTTTTTTGAGATCATCGACAGAGCTTTATCCAAACTATTTTGAGCTATAGTATCTAAATCTGATCATGTTGCATTCTAATCCCAATTTTGCTATTATTTTTTTCTTTTTCTAATAATATTTTGGCATTTGTTTTATTGCAGGATATCCATTATCAAGGCCGGGAACTTCGAGAAACTCCAGCACCTCTTGACTATCACTAATTTCATGTAGCTAAAGTGGAATAGAGTCGAGGACATGTTCTTATATTGAAGTTTTGCTAGAGAAATTCATAACAAGGTATCTGTTTTAGTAGACTTGTGGTTTGTTTGTTTGTTTATATATTATTAACACTTGGGTTCTTCAAAAAAAAAAAATTGAATGATTCGTTTATTTTCTAGTTAACGTCTTTGTAATCGAAGATGACGATTTAGGAAGCTTGGAAGATGAAGCTTTTAGAAGTTTCGTGTTTGTATGGTGTTATTAATGATGATATACAGTAAGCTTGGTGCTCTATGTAAATTCTTACAAAGTCTTGTGTGCATATTTATTTGAGCTGCTACTCTGTAATTTTCTTCCATTCATTCTTCTAAGAGTGATCAATTGCAATGGTTCAGGAATCGACTCGGGCAGGTACTTGCATCGGGCCAATGGACTAGTCCATGTCAAGCTCGATACCTTTTAGACAGGAGAAAATCCCAAAAAAAACGGGAATATGCTAAAAATATAAGTTGTTGGCCTCAAAAAATTGCGGGGTACGAAATTACTGTTTTCTTTTAATAGAAATGCATAATTTTAAGCCAAGAATCTCATTTTGTAGCCTGAGGAACAAGTTTCAATCGAAGCAAAAAATGAGGGACAAATCGATGGCAGATAGTTTTGGGCTTGTTCTGAAAAACCTTCTCTCGCTACAATTGAGATTTTTTGGGCCCGGTCTCTCGATTTCTTTGAATCCAACAAATAAATATGGGGATCTTGTAGAGGACTGAATCAAGAACAAATCGAATCAGGCTTCAATGGATTTGAAAGGAATTGTGATTCATCTTCGCCATTTGTCGTAACAACAAAAGATCGAGACTAGATACAGCATACAGGTGGGCAATTGGCAGGCAGTCTGGTCAGCCCGGCCCTAAAATACTAGTGCATGGGCCACATTCACAATGTGGCCCCAGGGTTGGGCCACCTTGAGCCTGGGTCTGGCGATACTTTTTACCTCAACCCTTTTTCCCTTATTATTTTTTATTTGATTATTTTGGCCCAACCTTGATAGGCCCTAAGCAAGGGGCTGTTTGACCTTAGCCCCGGCCTGGGCCAGGCCAAACTTGGGCCATCCTTATAGGGACAAGGACTGGGCTAAGGCTAGAGCTAGCCCGGTCCTTGCCTATGTGTTATGGGTTACATTGCCAATTGTTTTCCCAAATGGACATCACTGCAAAAGTTCCACTTGTGGCTTTGATAACCAAATGGGTATTTTTTGTGCCAGCAACTTAAGTTGGGCCAACTTATTAAATCTCCTACTTTTATTAGGTTCCTAATTCTGAACATCAGCAATATGTTAATCTTAGTATGGTTCTTGATAGGGAGACTGAAAGAAAGAGAGGGAGAGGGAGAGGGAGAGGGAGAGGGAGAGGGAGAGGAAATGAAAGTTGAACTTTGGTCATAGAATACGGGCATGTTTGGATGTATTAGTTATCATTGATAATTTACCATTTCAATAATGTTAATTTTGACAATGAATTATTTGTTATTTGGTGATGTCAACAAAGTTGTTTGAGATAAATTTATTGGCAACTTTATAAATAAGTAGATCTTTTTGAAAAGTAGTTTTTCTTTTATTCATAATAATTTGCTGAAAATCACATGTTTATGGTAAAAAAAGTAAAGCAATAGATGAAATTGTAAAATAATTGAATAATATTATACATATTATAAGATATGTTCCAAATATAGTTTATTCGGGATAAAATTAGTTATCAAGTGCAAGAGCCCGTTGACCCACAAACACCCATATTTTAGATGAACCTTGTATGAAGTGCACCGACTAAAATTATATATGGACGGTGTAAAAAAAATATCCTTAGGAATAGAACATTTTAAATTTTAAATTTATTTTCTATTATATTCATGATCACCTTGCCCTAGACCATGAAATCTTTAAAAATTTGGACAAAAAATTCCATCTTTAAAATGGGCTTTAAAGCGGGGACGCATATCTACTTATGAGCCAACTGACTCATATAAACCCTATCCACAATTAAATATTTCAAATATCAAATACTGCCATTCAACTACTGCCATTTCCAATTATTTACCCTAGAATTATTTACCCTTTACATACTATGGATCCTATGCAAGTGAAAACCATCATAGGGCTTTAGGAATCCCTATTATCAAGTTCAAATAAAGTCGTTATTTCACCCTAAGTGCTCATTTGGGAAGTCGGTTCTGTTCTTTTTATCTTTGTTGAAGATTTAATACGATAGCAATAGGGATTATACTATAAGACTATTTATTTTTAATATAAAGAGATCTCAATCACTTTTACTTATTGGACTAGAAATCCAATAAACAAGAGGGTCTTACAACATTCGCGAAATTTTGTTTTGAATTTTATGCTTAAACAGGGACACAACTTCAGCCATCCAATTTTATGATTGTGACCTCTTTGCATCAAAAGCAAATAGTCCCATTGTTTATATTTCCATAGTAATATGGGTATGATCAGATTTTCCGCGACTCTTTTGAAAACATTTATTGCGGAGTTAATTTCCAAAATAGACACAAGTGCCTTATTTTCTAGTTTCTTTTACTTTCAAGTCCAAGAGACACAAGTGCCTTATTTTCTAGTTTCTTTTACTTTCAAGCTATAACTAATTGGGATTGTCTACAAAGAGACTATTTGCTTTTTGTACAAAGAAGCTACAATTAATCGAGTCCCTCAGATTTCCAAATGGATGGTAGTGTTGTTGATTTGACACAGCTCCAAAAAAAAAGTTTTCGAACTTCATTACTCACCCCAAGCCATCTAATTGACATCTAATGAGTGGGAATAGTTGTGACTTCATTGTACAAAAGGTTAATAGTCTCTTCATAGACAATCTGTAACTAATTTCAGCCCCATCTCATCACATCCTTGGTTAATTACCTAACCTTAGGGTGAATAAACTCCTCTTAAAAGGAATATCCACAGATTTATTAAACTCTTGCAGGTCGTTTAAATTTTGATCAATTTATAGAACAAATCAAGAAAATTTAAACATAATTATTTCATATTTTATGCTTAAGTCTATCTTTTTAAGGCATATAGTTTATTTTAATTCTATTTGTTTTATAGATTGAGCTCAAATGTGGGATATCTATATTCACCATCTCACTTCTAACCAAAAAAGTTTTTTGAAAATATAAATTACCAAAATATTTCTTATTTTTTGTAAACATGATGGTTATTTCATATTATTGTATAACTTTTTTATATTTTTTAATGCTGCGTGATGGTGGGAATCTTGGACACTCCAAATTTGGGTTTAATATTATGATAAAAAAACTAAATTTAAAATATATTATATGCTCTTAAAAAGTAGGACCTAAACGTAAAAGATGAATATAAATAAGTATTCCAAATTTCACAGTAAAATATAAAATTGCCTTAAATTAGATCACTAATTTTTAAATTTTAGTATATTTTTATTATTGAGGATTACATGTTTGTTTTCTTTTCTACTAACCAGGAAACCACTGAACTCCAAATCACATAGAGAACTTAATTTACCAAATAAAAACTGCATTGGCTAATTGAATTCACACTTGAAACTCTTGCTACAACCAAGTGTAACAAAGTTACCCATATTTCCAAAGCATAGAGAATATCTATTGACACAACATACCTTGTAGGACTGGACTTACCCACAACACATTCCTTGTAGGACTGGACTTACCCCACAACCAATCACCATGCATCAAACCCATTACTGGACAATTTGTACATGAAAGTACTAATAAACATATATGTAGGATTAGATCTATCTTAAGGGTACCCTTAGGCTTTTGGAATGAATGGGGATCTCTCTCTCTCTCTGGTAGCAAACTAGAGTCAACATCACCTACAATAGGTATCTAAGGAGAAAGAAGAGGGTGATCATAATCAAGATACCCCAACCCCCAGAGCCAGATCCTGAAGTGTTAGATTGCACACCTTGGATTGAAGGGAAGAACAAACTGAGCAAGTGAATTACTAAGAGCAATAGAAGGGGAACAAGGGCTGTGAAGCCAAAGGCAGTGTCTTGGACCTCACGAAGGACTGAGACATTCTCCCAAATGAATGGTCCGGATATCACGAACACCAGGGTCCCTAGCATCAAAGAGGGGATCAGCGGTGATGGATCTCCTCCCATTCCTCTATAGAGATTCCTATGAGACTATGTGCGTCACGAACGTACTCTGGGGCTCGTTTCGCTACCACTACACTCGTTGGTTCCACCAGTGAATTTATTGAGAATCTTACAAGATCAATTCGTTCTTTTTTCTTTGATGGATGGTCAGAACTTCATCTGGGGTCGAATGCAAGTTAATGAGTAAGAATTCTCAAGATTTTAGAGACGGGTGTACTCCTTGTATTCTGAGATGATTATTCCTCCTAAGATAATTACAAGGAGAGGATGTCCAATTTAGGGGTTTTTTTTTGTTCTATATATTATATGAATAAAGAGTGGGAGTAGGGAACTATAACTCATGGACATTGTCGTTTTGATACTGTTCTTGGCAACATGATCTTGATATCTATGTTGTTTCATAGTTATTTAAGGTGGATAAGTCTTTCGTTGAGTATTATAATATTTTTTGAAGTAATTACCCAAAAAAAATATTATTTTTAGAAGAGGGAGCTTGATGGAAAAATAATATAATTTGTCCTATCGATAACTTTAATGAGATGAGTAAATTCTCCTTGCATAATTGGGCTTAGATGCTACATCATTGTCTTCTAATGTTCAAGTCCCCACTTATCCACCGAAATAATAAGAAACAAATACAAGCATTACTTAGGGACATGGAGAGAGAGATATGCCTTCATGTTAATTGTAAGTTATTCCTATATTTATTATCCAAATAAATAAATTCGTAATATGTTATATTATGCTTTGGAAATTTGTTTCATACGGGTTGGATCGCATTTCTACATGTACGGTCCAGGAAGTGTAAAGTATCCATCTTAAAGATGGAGGCAAGTAGGTATTCTATCTAAAAACAATGAAACCTAATGGTTCAAATGTTTTCTTATTAAAATTATTATTTCTATTTTTTAAAATTTATTTAATTTTTCATGTTCATTATCTCCAAGTTAAAGATTACATGTCCTTAAAATTAAGTCTTAAAATCCATCTCTAAAATTTTTACGATAGTTTCTCTTATAAAATTTTCTTTAAAATTTTAATACTCTCTTTCAAAAACTTAAAATTCAAAATAGTTTATCTCTCTAAAAACTTCGAGATAGCTTCTCTCTCTAAAAATTCTCTCTAAAAATTTTATATATTTTCTCTTTCTAAAATTTGATATAGTTTCTCTCTCTAAAATTTTGAGATACTTTCTCTCTCTAAAACTTAAAATTTGAGGTAGTTTCTCGCTATAAAATTTTTGAGATGGTTTCTCTTGCTAAAAAATTTTAGTTAGTTCCTCTTTTTAAAATATAATATGATTTCTCTCTCTAAAAGTTTAATGTACTTTTTCTATCTAAAACTTAAAATTTGAGAAATTTTTTTTCTAAAAAATTTAAGATAGTTTCTCTCTCTAATAAATTTTAGGTACTTTCTCACTCTAAAATTTGATAAAGCTACTCTCTTTAAAATTTTAAGATGCTTTATCTATCTTAAATTTTCAAGTAGTTTCTCTCTCTAAAATTTTAATATACTTTCTTTCTCTAAAACTTAAAATTTGAGATAGTTTCTCTATCTAAAAATTTTCAAATAGTTTATCTCTAAAAAAATTAGCTACTCTCCCTATCTACAAATTTGATGTAGTTTCTCTCTCTAAAGTTTTAAGATAATCTCTCTCTCTAAAGCTTAAAATTTGAGATAGTTTCTTTCCCTAAAATTTTCAAGTAGTTTCTCTTTTTAAAATTTTAATAATTTCTCTCTCTAAAACTTAAAATTTGAGATAGTTTCTCTATCTAAATGTTTTTAAATAGTTTCTCTCTAAATATTTCAATACTTTCTCTATCTAAAATTTGATATAGTTTCTCTCTCTAAAGTTTTAAAATAATTTCCCCATCAAAAACTTAAAATTTGAGATAGTTTATCTCTCTAAAAATTTCAAGTAGCTTCTCTCTATAAAATTTTAATGTACTTTCTCTGTAAAACTTAAACTTTGAGATAGTTTCTCTATCTAAAGTTTTCAAGTAGTTTCTCTCTCTAAAATTTTAATACTCTCTCTCGCTAAAACTTAGAATTTGAGATAATTTTTCGATCTAAAATTTTTCAGTAGTTTCTCTCTCTGAAATTTTAGGTATTCAATCAGTGACGGAATACCCGAATAAGTTTAAAATTATATGTGACCACCTTGC